TACCTAATGTTACCTACGTTCCGAACGAAGTAACGAGATAAAATATTTAAAAACTAATTTTTAATATGATTTTCTTTTAAACGAAGCATTTTTTTTAAAACGTTCATTCACATAGGTAATGTACATTCGAAGTACTTCAATCGTAGAATAACAGCAGTTTTAAATGACTATTTAAATGTTATTGTTAAAAAATGTAACAAAATTTTCAATAAGCGTGGGTACGTGTAAACGGTGAAAGAACGGAATGGATAAAATATGAAGCGCGGCTGGTTGGAAGTATCGGTAAGAAAAATTGAACCGGCCGCCGGGAATAATTAATAAACGTCAATCAGTTCTCCGTGGAATCGAAGGTGTCGGTGGATAGGTTGTGCGAGCTAAAATGATTTTATGCCTGTCTTACGAACAATCTAACGTTACCCGACCGATGGACAAAGATCATAGGACGACTAATGGTTCGAAGACCCGGTTCATTCGTTCGCTCGTCTCTCGAAGACCCCGAGACTAATCAGCGCGAGCATTAATCATCTCCGTGGATCCTCGACCCAATTTTCGTTAAGGTCAAGTCGCGATGGAGACGTTGATTGGATTCCGCGTCGGACCAGAGGCAAACACCTTTTCCGTTCCTTCGTTACCTTTTCTTTCACCGAGACGATACGTTATCGTTACTTTTATTCGCGTTTACGCGTCCACGCGTACGTATCGCGTATACTTTAAGGATGGCGAAATTTCACCGATCCCGGGAACTTTTTCTCGACGCTACCATTTCGAATGAAATCGCGGTAATCCTGGGATCGACGAAAAAATCGTACGTTTCTGCGAAATCACAGCGTTTTCGCGTAGCGGATAGAACGTTTCTTGCGACATCGAAGAGAACGGGGCCGGCGGCGCGACGCGACCACGGGGATTCTTAATGCGGTCGCGTCGTAAAAATATTGCTGGGTAATTGTAAACCGCAGCCACCGCGGTGGCACGGACCGTTTATCATCGTCTCTATAGGTCGTCGAGCCCTATGGTGTTGGTTCGGGGGTTCACCCGCGGTAAGAGTTAAAACCTCAGCATGACTGGTGGCCTCGGTAGCCGATAGACGTGTCATTTACGCGTCTACGAATCAATAGCCGCTTCACTTTACACCCACCTTACATCATTAGTCATTTTATAGGACCGTTATACAGTGCTCCCTCTTTACATGCACGGAGAATCTCCGCCGCGCGTCTCCTTTCTCCGCTAGAAATCTTGCTTCCGTTATCTACCCGACGACTTTTTACTCGCTACGATTTCTCTTTATTATTTATTTCCACACTCGTAGGGCCGATGTTTTGAGTTACGGAGAATTAAAAAAGTAAGAAATCGGGGGGTCTATACTTACCATAGACTCTACCTACCTGCTTTCTCGAATCGTTTCCCTGTCGCATTCGATCGACGTACATAAATCGTACTCGTATCGATCTCGCAGGAACCCTAAAGTTACGGAAAACATTTTCTCAACAATCTGGCACACGATGTACATAGAAAATAGGTGAAACCAGATGCGGAACAATTAATAAAGTGTATCGCCGGCCGGAAGATGCGGCCCCGGCTAATATTCGAATTCTGCCGTGACACGGGACAACTAATCATTCGAACGATCCCCGCGTATGCGCTCACGCGTTCTTACCGATGTGTGCGTGGATCGAGTCGAGTGTGCAGCCGGGGGTTTCTACGACGAAGAAACGCCGAATGGTTTTGCACGCTTACCGCTCGATTTTCGGATCTATCACCCTCCGGGTAACCCTCTTTCGAGTGCTCTCGAGCCTACCCTATCGAGATTTATGGAACGTGTCAAATCGAACGGCTAACCCTTGAGTTCTTAGTTAAGTCTCCGTGTACTTCGCTGCCGGGACTCTTTCCAGATACGATATTTCTTACGTCGTCGCCGCGTCGGTAGAAAATTATCCGGCGCGCTCGGTTTTTGATCGACCGATGGAAAAAGCAACCGGCGAATCGGATCCTCCTGATTTTACGATTCGAGAAATCGCGCGATAACTTCTTGGGAAAACGAGGTATTTATACTGGAAGAGCGTCGACGAAGGCGACGACGATAACTTCCCGTTTGCCCGCGTGCCGTGCACGCCGCATCGCGTGGCGAGGCGTGCGTAAGATTCTATTTGCGGTGTGTAACCGTGGCGTGTCGTGCAAGGTGTTCCCGCGGTGAAAACTTTAACACCGTGTATACGTACATGTATAAGGGTGTAGAAGCGCGCGTAGAGCGCGGAGGTTTCCTTCATCTATCATGCGAACCATGACAAACCGAGGCTCAAAAGCAGCCGCCAGCGACTTCTTGCCTTCTACGTTCGCGTCGCTCTGCCTTTCTCTCTCTCTCGATATCGAGGCAGCCTTTACCTGCCCACTACGCGGGATCCGCTTCTTCTTCTCTCTCCCGCTCTCTCTCCCTCCACATTTATTAACATTTAAGCGTTAACGACATTTCTCTCCCGTTCAGAAGAAGAAGAAGAAGCCGGAACCTTTGTCTCTGTTTCGAGTTCTCTTTCGTTTCGGGCGACGGTAAACGAAATTTGACTCGGTCGGAAATCCTGCTACCCTTTTCGTTTCGCGAAATTGACCGAGCAATTAAATACGATCAAAAGGTCGCGTTCGAACAAATCGACGTCGACGGTCGCGTTGATAGTCGCACTCGCATGGGATGCTCCATCATCGAAATATCGAGATTACAGCGCGAGCGATCGAATTGGTCACGAAGTAGTTTTTGTACGCGGCTAGCTGTTTTTTTGTTTTTTGCTTGGAGGTCGACATTATGTCTTTTACAGTTTAACTTTCCACGTTACACGAAATCTCCGGCGTTTCATCACCGCGCCGCGAGATTTCACCTTTGAAACGAGTTTCTCGTTATTTACGTTTTTGCCCGAGCTCTACAATTACGCGACGCTAAACGTCGAACGTTCTCTCCGGATCCGGGAACGTTTCCTTCCGTCGAACGCTTCGAAATCGTTTCCAAGGAAAAATCTATCTTCCTGGGATACGTTAGTAAAGTATTTCTTCTTCTCGAGAAATATTCATCGAAAGTTGTTGGAAAGGTCGATAAAAAATTTATTCGTTCGAGGGAATCTCGCGTTGTTTTACTTTTCCAATTAGAAAGTTACGAAACAACGGGAGGAACGTGGAAAAGAATAGACGATCGAAGAATGGGCCGAGGTGACAGCTTGTTCGGGGCGGGAGTCGCCGGAATTCAGGAGTTTTCCGGGTGTTCGGCCGTGGCTGTAGGTACTATAGTATATCGGTCGGAAAGCAAAGTGGCGTGAATGAGTCGTCCCTTGACGATCGTAAGATTTATGGTCGCGACGCTCCAACCGGGGAGGCCAAACATCGTCACGACTCGGGGCTGCTAACCCTTGACTTCCCTCTAGTCCACCCTCCGCGATCCTCCGTAGTGGTCGATCGTGTGGATACGCGACGAAAATGTTATGACGATTCCGTGAAATAAAATTTTCTCGCTGGATAGGCAACAGTAGTACTTACCGTTTTTCAAATGAAGGCACGCGTACGATTCTCTTACAACCATCCTTAGAAACCTTCCCTATTCTCTCTCTCTAGTTTCCACGAAAAGGAAAAAATGTAGTGAGTAGAAGGATAGGTAGCGATAGAAGAGTGGGAAGGCGAGCGCAGCGGCAAAAACCGCGATATCTAAGGATTCGTCGAAAGTGCGATTCCCCCGGTTTTCCTCTTTTTTTCTGGGACCAGCCGCCGGAAGGGCGGCATTTCCATCGCTGAGAAAAAGTTAATAGCGTTGAGAAATTAGCCCGACAGGGGGGCGAGGTGAACCTCGCAGGATCCGTAACCAGAGGGAGGAACGGAGGATAGGCAGAGAACGAGAAGACGAGACGAGGGGTCCGAGATAGAGGAATGGATAGATAGAGAGAGAGAGCCGAACAGATACGAAGACAAAAATAGAGATAGATATGGACACTGGTGGTAGATGCGAATAAAGAGGAAGACACGCGGAAAGGAAGAGAGTAAGAGAGAGGGAAGAGGGGCCGCAGGGCGATGGGCGATCAGGGGTCGCGTTTCGTTGGGGTGTTCCGCACAGATGCAACGATAGCAACAGTTCGGTTCGGTCTCGTTCGAACGGGAGGCCGCGTGCACGTACGAGCTGCCGCCGCCGTACGGCTCTCGACGGCACACACGGTACGGCACGGCACCGCACGGCATCGTGGCATCGTATGGGCTTGACTCACACGCATCACGCGCGGTCATCCATCATTGTCAGTCTCTTCGCTGACGCAGCCCCGTCCGGTCTACGAAACCCACTGTACACTGGGACTCTCTTGATTCGAGTGATCCTCTCTCGGTCCCGCGCCTCCTTTCCGCTTCGAGCTTTGATTTCCCGCGAAACCGAACCGATGCTCGAACGAGCTTTGCTTCGACGCGAACGACTATCGATCGCGCCGATACACCGATTCGAATTAGGACGCGTACCGATTTCAGACAACGCGACGAGGATGAAAACACTAAAGAAACGATCCAGAGGAACTCTCGAATCTCTGGCATTCGTTCCCCCGCGGCCGCGCGAGGAGAAGGATCAGGCCGAAATGTATGTATTTGGATCGGTGGCGTTTCCTCCGAGAGCCCCGGGAGTTTCGGCGGAAGAAGCGACGATGATGGATGACTCGAAATATCGGAGCGATAGAACTGAAATATTATTTTTACCGCGGCCCGATGCGCCGCATTTATCACCCCATTAAAATTGATTCGCGGCTGCAAATTATGGCCTGTCTTCAGAAATCGTCTTCTCTCAAACGATCCTCTCATCTTGTTTTCGCGTTCTTTGCACGAAAGTCGTGATCATTGTTTCGATCCGCGTCGACAAATTATTTTTTCCAACGCGAGATTATTTTTCCATTAGAAAATTGACCGTAGATTTTGTTTGGATCGTAGGGAGATCGACTGAATCGCGAGGCGATGGAAGGATAGCAGTGGGAATGACAATAAACGCGTTTATACTTCGTAATGATATCTTTTATTATCATCCATTTCCATGTCCACTTACGATCGGTTTTATCGCATGATTCGTGGATGAGCGTTGAACGAAAAAGGCGAACTGTCAGAACATCAGGAGGGTGAAGAAACAGAAAGAGACAGTTCGGTAATTGTATTTGCGATTGCGTGAACGATTTTACGCTACGATCGTCATCCTTTATCGCGATTACGTTCGTTCTCTGTTCTCTCGCGGATCGGAGCTGAGAAGCTCGTCTCCGATCGACGATGGAGTTGGAGAATCGAATAAATGCGTGTTCTCGGGTGTATCTACGTGTACGCGTTTACAGGTGTATCCGTGTGTACGATTATCGTAAGCGCGTTATGTACAAAGAAGTTTTCGTATGTAAACGACTCGCGACTCTGTTCTAAATGACATTTTTATCAGTTTACTTTATACAAACCAGATACGATCACTGGCTCACTATTAAATATTTCCCGCCGTGTCGTGCCGTTCAGCTGAGAATCGACAGCGTCTATGATCGAAAAAAATATTCGCGTACCATCGACCGTCGAACGTCGGCGGTATGAGAATCCAGATTTAATTATACCAAAATCGTATTTCCTAGCAAAGTGCGTTTCGCGATAAAGAGAATAGCTATCGACAACGGAACCTGTAAGAATCATTTTTGTCGCTCGCCTATCGGTCTGTCTCGTAAACGTCTTAACTATTGTTTCATTGGACGACGCGAGCCACTTTAACCATTCGCTTTATATTCTGTCATTTAAAAATTCATAGGCGTTATTCTTTCGCTTTCAGATTTAAACGCGAGGCAACAAAAAGTTAACAAACGAAATTAAAACTTTGACGTTCGACGGATCGTTCAGTCTCTTCCAGGTTTCAGAAAAAATTATCGGAGCAACGTCGAAACGAACTTCTAACAATGTTCTCCTAGTTACGAGCGCACTTTCCTTGCGTTATTTTTTACGCGACTCCTTTCGTCCTCGGCACACTTTCCTTCGTCTTTCTTTATCGCACTAGAATTTTTATGTACACGTTATTTCACTAAGAATTATTGCTCGTCGTTCGCCGGCCTTCGCGCAAATTCCCAAACAAGGTATTTGCGTCGTTATCGAAGCGATACGGTAACGATCACGCCCGAAGCACTTGCGAACTCCGATCACCCACGAAATTCGAGTAACTGCGCCCTATACAAATTGTCCTTCCGTTAAAAAGATTGCACTTGCACCTCTTCGTTCCGTTCTAACTTTAGTTATTCCCTAATTTATTTACACACGACGCTCCGCCGCGTCGAGTTCGCGAGTCGCACCGTTGACGATCGCTCGTCGGCCGATTCGGCGAACTTCCGTCGCGTCGTTCGCCCTTCGGTGATGGCGACCTGGCGAAGCAATCGTTTAGTTACGGACGGAGATGATTGCGACGGCCGACGCGAAGATCATTCCTAGCCAAACTATGTTTTAAACATCCCAACGATGTTCCTCGGTGTACAAGCTTATTCATAGTTTCTCCTCGTCCATTCCGAATTAACACGTTCGTCTCGCGGAAACTTCGATTTGAATCTATGCAACGGACGACCTTCTCGCACTCGAAATGGTTTTCAACGAGATCTATTCCCGCGATGATTGGACGATCGCTTTTCAGCAATTCTTCGTACTATTTTTTCCAGTCTTACTTCGTCTTTGATTGCGTATCGTTCCTGGTAATTCCTTCTACTTATTCGGCAAAAATCAGTCTTCGGGCATTGTTCGCGATCTAAATACTTCTGTGTTCACCGTAAACGATGTTCGTTTCGTCGCAATTCGTCGATCGTTTCGGTCGGTCACAGGGAAGTTACTTCATAACCGCGATCATCGCAAAGATCACTCGTCGCTTTGCGATCGTTTGCCGCATTAAGAATGCTCTTCTTTCGAACGTCGGACTCTCGCTCATCGGAAGCACCCGAATCAGTACAACGCGTTCAGCAGGCACTGTTCGTCGCTCCAATCCAATTGACAAGGGTTCTCCGTCTCGTGGACTCAGCTGAGTTGATAATATTCCGGCGCGAAGTCGTTTGCCAGGTTCGTCAGGAAGTTAAAATCTGACGAGCTGTTGCTGTTATCCGCCGAGGGCGGCGGAGCGGAAGTGTGAACCGGTTCCGCGTAAAAATTGCCGTAATTGTACGATTCCGCGGTGCCGTCTGCTTGAGACGCGGTTCCCGGGGGCGTGATGACGGCCGCGGTAGCGGCAGCGATCGCCGTCGCGGTCGTGGTCATCCCGGGCGCCGGAAAAGGATCGGGCGAGGAGACGTAGCTGTTCGGAATGTTCGATGCCTCTCCACCTTGATGCACGTGCTGCAACTGACTCGTCTGCTCGTAGTAGGCCGCGTTGGGATGACACTTGGCGCCGGTCCTATAGTCGCCGGAACTCGGGTGCATGGGTGGTTGGTGCGTCGCGTAGCCCTCGGCCGTGTGTTGCTGTTGATGTTGCTGCTGCTGTTGCTGTTGCTGCTGCTGTTGCTGTTGGATATCGGTGTAATAGTGTTGACCGGTCTGCACCGACACGGCGGCGTGCCCGTGAGAAACCAAATTCTCGCCGGTGGAGTGATACCCACTGCCGCTGTTGGGGTAACCGTAGTTGCCCGGCGTCATGTAATTCTCGGCGGTCTGCTCGTGTTGACCGCCCGAATAGCCTTGATTGGCGCCGTAAGGATTGCCTCCTTGCACCGACCGGTGGTGATAAGACGCGTGGTAAGGCGTACCTGCTTGTGGATAGCCGTTGTACTCTCCCCCGGTATTGGCGTACTGACTTTGTTGTTGATGGAACTGCATGCCAGCGGCGTTGTACATCGTTCTGGATGTGGCGCTCGTCGCCGAACGAACATGGTGACCCACTCTGGACCCTATCGCTTGATTTTGTCTAGCGTAGAGCGGGTGAACTTCGCCCGGATACGAAATCCTAGGTTGTTGATAGGTGTCTCTGGAACAATAGTTGCCCTGAGATTGGGTCTGTTGCGCGACCGCTGGAACGTTTTGTCTATTGGCCACTACTCCGTTTCTGTAATCGATGGCCGACGCGGGTTGATAGACGTTCTGTTGTGGAAAATGCGTCTGGCCGTTACCGATGTTCCTCGCGCCGTGAGGAGGCATGGTCCCGGCGTTCGTCGACCCGTGCAGCATAGGAGCTGCGGCGGCAGCGGCCACGGAGCTCGTCGACGAAGGCGAACTCCTCGGTTTCTGCATATACGCGGCGTGCGCGGCTTGAATACCCAATGGACTTCCCTGTTGCAATTGTACCGGAGTCCCGGGAGTAGACGAAGGCGTCAGGCTTCTCGCGGAGTTCTGACCGGGTAGCACGGGCGTGCTCACCGTTGAATCCGGCATCGCCAATAGCACCCCGTTGCTGTTCACCGAGCAAAGTTCCTTGGTGTTAGCCGACGGAGACTTTTTGCTCACCGATATCTGCTGTTTCCCAGGGTTCGGACTCTTGCGACCGCTTTCCACTTTGATCCTGACGTCGCCGACGATCTTTTTGGTAGCCACGCTCGGCGACGTCACCTCGCTCCCGTCCTGAGACCTCGAATCGTCGTCGGCTATCATCTTCTCGAACGAGCTCGAAACGCTGTTCGTGCTACCCACGCTACTGGCCCCGTTACTGTTCGCGTTGAAAGCCGGATTCCCGTTGTTGCTGCTGTTGTTGTTCGTCGCCGAGGGCGTATTGTTGTTGTTATTGCCGCTCCGATGACCGGAAGTAGCGAGCTCGCTCGCGTCGCCGGATAACGTGCTGCCGACGTCTCCGACGCCGGATATATCACAGTTGTGACAGCTCTTCTTTTCGTCGCTGTCGATCGCCCTCATCTTCTCGCCCTTCGTCTTCTCCATCCCGTCGGACGCGGAACCATCCTTCTCGTCGCCGTCCTCCTTACTCAGGGTTTGTCTTTTATGTTTCATTCGCCGGTTTTGAAACCAGACTTTGACCTGGAATCAGCGAAACAACGGATTCGTTCGCGGTCAGAGGAAGTAGACGGGGTTCTGACGCTTGGTTATTTCTTTGAGTCGTTCTCACCTGCCTCTCAGTCAGGTCCAGGGACGCGGCGATCTCGATTCTTCTCGGTCTGCACAGGTACTTGTTGAAGTGGAACTCCTTCTCCAGCTCGAGCAGCTGCGTGTTCGTGTAGGCCGTGCGCAATCTTCTCGGCAAGCCGTTCTCTGAAAAATAACCAGAGGCGTTTCTCTATTTCTTATTCTATCAGTGAAACCAACGCGAGAAAAGGGACGCCTTCTGGTATCGTTGTATCTTTCGTATAAAAAAAAAGAAGACGGTCAAGTTCGAGAGGGTAAAGCGGCCGTAGAGCACCCTTGCCAACACCGTGACCAGAGTCTAAACATGCACTCGGCGATAGCTACCGCGCGCTGCTATCCGGGTACAAAAGCGAAACGTTCGCTTTTTGCTCGATTACGGCACACTCAAACGGCCGCTTAATTAATGATCATTTAGGCGTCGTCTCGGCGAGGGGTGGCGTCGGAAGCCGATGGCGCGAACAATGCGCCGGCCCGTATAGGGAGAGAAAGCGAGACGTGAATAGTCCGTGCGAACGTTCGAACGACGCGCGACGCGTCCCAACTTTCGTCCAACTTCTCCAGCGGGTGGTATTTCCTCGTCGATGCGAAACATCTCTGGTAATTATTATCCGGATAAGAAACTTGTCGCGAGATAACGAGGAAACGCCGTGGAAAGGAAGAGGAAGGGACGGACGATCACGATCCTGCGGCCGGCCGGTTTCCACGTAAGAAGCCTCGCTCGCGCGCGTACAGCGATGCGATCCGCGCTGGCTACGATGTAAACAATCATTAATAGTCCTCTATCGTAATTACAGCATTTTACCGAGCGGCTGACGCTCGGGTAATATTTCAATCAAAGTCCGTATGCTCGCGCGTACCTAGTCGCGATAGTCGGAAACACGTATTCGAGCGGCCGCTGCCGCCAGTCCCTAGCTCGACGCAAAATTCAGTCAGGATAACGTGCGCGAGCCGGTCCGATAAAGCAACGTGGCAATTAACTTTGCCGTTCGTCGTTGGGTTACTTCGTGGGAATCGATTTTTCTACGTTGTAACAACGCGACGGTTATTTTTTTCCTCGACTGGCCTTTTCTCTCTCTCTCTCTCTCTCGTTCCTCCAACCGCGCCGCGAAGTTTCCTTTTTCCTCGACGATGACGAAACAGCCGTCGCGCAACAGTCGCCGTTGCTTTATATGAAAATCGAAGTTGCTCGCCTTGGATACGCGACGTTTAACGCACCTGAAAATAAATCGTTCGCCGTCGCGAGACTAATTGAATCGTTCGTTCCGAGAAACGTCATTTTTCTTCCACTCCGTTCTTTTATTTCGTTCGATAGGTCGGTGGTAGGTTGATAATATAAGTTACGCACCCCCCCTTTCCTCCCTGGTTACCTATCTCTCTGTACCGCGACGCGACGGAACAATTCGATCGTCAAATTTTCTGGCCAATCGACCGTTTCGCGTATCGCGATTGATAGCCGATCACCGCTTTTTCACTTCTTAACTATTACGCGAAAGTGATTTTTTCTGGAGAACGTAAAACGTAGCGAAAAAGAAGAACGATGAAGAGCGTAGAAATACAGCGGGAGAGGTTGGGCTCGGTGGTTTTCGAGGGTCGAGATGCTAAACTACCTGATGGCGTGCGAGTATATCGGAGGGCGGTGGACGCAGGGGTGGCGTACGCGGCACGGGATGAGTCGTCGGGACTCGAAGGAGTGGGATAAAAAAGAAACGGCGGGCAGAGGGTGAAGGGTGGACGTTGCGAGGGGGTGCGACTCTAAGTCCGCGCGTGGAGCTTTCATAGAGTAACCGGGGGTCGGTGCGCGGGGGTTGAAACGTCTCGCGAGTGACACGGCCCTTATCGATATTTCCATCTCGGGATTTGCCCTCGTCGATACTCTTATCCGATCGACGCGAAGACTTTGCGAACGCTGTCCGCGTCCTTCTACGGCTAACGAAAAGTATTTTCGATGCGTCCACCGTAGTTTTCGGTAGGTCCGTCTAGACTTTACTTTAAGAACATTGCCTTCACTTTTCTCGAGAACGAATTTTCAGGATCTTTGAACACGCGCCGGTATTACACGAGCGTACGTGTAAACATCTCGAGATAGAAATAATCGCGTTCGTCAATCGTGACTCTTGGAAACGATTAAGTATATTCTATGGACGCGTTTATTCGAGTTATACGATTATACGATTATTTAACCCGTCGCGGAACTTGGCGCAACAAATTCATATATCACTCGTCGTTCTTGTATTCGTTTCACGTCTGGCAATGGGAATTTAGCTTACGAAACGAACGTACATTTATCGCGACGCATTATCCAGCGTTACGATACAGTCGAGAGGAGCTATCAACGTATCAGAGATACCTATTCTTTCTCGACTCGCATCGCGGATTCGTTAATTATGCCGGTTAAAAGTCAAGGTCGTCCTGCCTATTAACGCGTCGCATCGGTCGACATTTACGCTCCATAGCCAGCGTAGACGTATGTATTCGCGTTCCATCGGAGGCCCCGGTGCAATAACGGAACGCCGCTGCAACCGACCATAAATCATCTCGGGCTCCTATGAAATTAGCGGCACTGTGTTTTCGCGTGCGAATTCACCGGAGGAGAGAGCGAAGTTCCGCGGCTCCGGAATTTATAGAACTCCGATAAAACGAGCTTTCGGTGGAGTCTGACTTAACGCGGTACGCTTCACCGACTTCGCCTTTTCGTTCATTCTTTATTTTTCTTTCTCTCTCTCTCTGTCTCTCCACGATTCCACTTTTTCTCGTTCTTCGATGTTCCCGCGGATCGGATCGATCGATCGCGTTCTCCTCTCGTCCCATTAAGTATCGTCGTGGCATCGTTATCGCGAATTCGCATCGGAACGCGCCGCGCGCGGCAGTGTTCGATATTGCTCGAACGACGATAACGCGGGAGATTCCGGAAAGCGGAATCGCAATAGTCGTGGAAATATCTCTCCTCGTTACCCAACGGCTAAGTCGAGATGGTTTTCGAGATCTTCCAACTACAATTTTTAATATCCTACGAAGAATTTTTTATTCAGTTGGGAATATACGTATAGGACTATTAGTGTATTGAGTTTCCGTGGCATCGGACAAGTATTTGATGTCCGGTACTTTTGTATCCGTGTAATCGGACGCCGTTATTAAAGAATGATGCTATCGATACGTCGTAGCCGTTCCAGCGAATGGTAGAGTATCTGAGGAACGTAAAACCTGACAATAACCATTAAGCCGACTAGCACGCGTTACATTCATTTCCCGGTAAAACTAATTGCAATCTCCATCGAGCAATCCCTCCGTTCATATCAGTTTCAATCCACCCATTCACTCTTCATTACCATTGGCGACCGTTGCAACGTTAACCACGCGTTCCAACTACCTCGGAGACCTTTCGTTTCTCCCATAATAGTTCGTCTCGCTCGATGAATATTCCACTGCTCGTTCGCTCGTGATTATTAAAAATATTTTAATCGCTTCGCTCGCTCGAAACAGGGGATTTGGCTTGAGCTCCGAACAACGTTCGATCGACAATTTTCAATGGGAAATCGCAGCTTGTCTTCGATGGAACGAACCATAATAATTATTGAAACCGAATGGCTGCGCGGATGGAAGTTGCACGCGGAGAGGGTGGAAGAACGGGACAGCGCACGGTGAAAAGAGAGGAAGGGTGGCGTGCTCGAAACTCGGCAAATCCCGCGGCCGGGCTTTTCAGAGGGATAAAGGCCGGGTTAGAGGAGAAGGGTGCGTGCCGCGCGCGAGATGGAAGTATCGCGTGATTGACGCGGGCCTCATCAGCATTTCGGGTTTCCCGCGATTGGCTGGACGGACCTGTCAATCAGCCGATATTCCACGCCTATTGGCCCCTCTGTCCTCTGCCACGCTCCACGCTTCGTACTTACCCTCGTCCCTTTCCCCGGAACGATTCGCGAACGAACTCCCGGAGTTTTTCGTTATTCCGGCGACGCTCGCCGATTCGATGTAAACGTTTAATCCGCAACGAGTGAACATAAGTATGGTTTTTCCGTACAACCGTTTTGTGCGTTTCATCGAAGCGTCGCTCTTCCAACGGGAATCAAAACCGAAACGACGAAACGAATTACGCGTTACGAGGAACATCTTTCGTGTGACACCTACGACGCGTCGCGTAATCGACTCGAATTCACTTGAATTCGCTTGCGTAAACACGGCGGAAAAGTTTGAAGAAATCGGTCGCACAATGACGAAACAACGGGACGGGGCGAGGAATTACCGATATAAACTACCGAGGCGAAAGCTATTAATCTTTCGTGCAGCGCGCGGTTTTTCAAGGCGCGAGAAAACAAATTACGCGCTCGCCTCGTGTGTGTTCCGCCGCAACGTTCCAAGACGTATACCTGCGCGCCTACCTATAGGGACAGGGAGAAGAAACGCGTCGCACGCGAGCCTTTTGTCCCCCAACCCTTTTACGCTGAACGCGAGCCTAAATCGCGAAAACAAATAACGAGCGGGCGGTGCGTGTAAAAAGGCCGACGCGGCCACGGCCTTCGAGCGATTCTTTCTCGAGCTCGCGCTATACCACCCAAGCAACGAATACATATATTAGTCATCGATGACGCAAGAGTCCGTAAGGAATGAAAATAAGAAGCCGAGTACAAAGGCCGTGATTTATCGCTCGTCCTCGTACGATTTTCTCTTATGCCTAAGACGGTTTCGAGAACGATTTCTGTCAGGGAGTCAGCTGCTCGACGCTTCTTTCGTCGCCGATGCTTGCGACGATGAAAGCGTCTTTCGATTCGCTCGCGACGCGGTAAATGACTCGATTAAACACGTAATCAATTTCACGGGAGTTTCTACATCTCGTCCGAAGCAACGACGTAGGTTCGGATGTTAAATGGTCGTAATATACCATTGTCCGTTCGAAAGGTTCATCACTGAGAAACAAAGTATTTACCGTTGGTAGCTGGGACAGAAATAGCTGCGGGAATCGCTACTTTCGCTAGGAACGAAAATATCGTTGCCCGATAGTTTCGAGGCTCCGGTTCTAGCTTAACCCGGTAGCCGGATGAACCGTCAGATTTTGTACCTCGGGACGACCGTCGAGTGACGGTTAACGTCGGGAAACGCGCGACACCGAAATAGAATTCGTATTTTGGAATACT